TTTTAAATCCAAGCTTTTGTGACACCAGATGTAATTGGTGGCACTGACTGGGGAAATGGGCACAGTATGCACTGTGAGCCTGACACAGAAGCTGGCAGCAGTGGCAGACAACTAAGTGCATTTACATTACATAGAAAAAAAAAATTAAAAAAAATCATACCCTTATCCCTAACCTAGCTATGCTTTTCCCTATCTTATGAACAGCAGCTACACTTTCCCTCCTCTTACTAAGCATGCAGCTTGAGAATGAATCTAAAATGGATGCCTTCCAGGAGGTGGGAGGGTCTGCTAGGGAGGGTGTGCTGCTAATTGGCTGGAATGTGTCTGCTGACTGTGAGGTACAGGGTCAAAGTTTACTCAATGATGACGAATAGGGGGCGGGTCGAACCGCGCATATGTTCGCCCGCCGTGGCGAACGCGAACATGCTATGTTCGCCAGGAACCGTTCGGTACATCACTAGTGCAGGGTATGTGTGAAGTGGTGTAGTGTTCGTGCGGGGTCTATATTGTGGTAGGGAGGGTGATCAGGGAGAAAATGCATATTATTTACTTAAAGGGGGGAAGCTTTGTGCCCCCTTCTTACATCTGGCCTGGAAGGAGGGGACATATCACTGCAAGGCCTGGTGGTGCAGTTTTGGCAGGTGCACTTCAGACCGCAGCTTTTCAGGCTGCATGCTGACTTCACAATTTTCTTGCCACAAGCACAACGCTGTCGGAGCATTGCCATGGTAACGTGCAGCAACGCTCCGACCTGCCTGTTTGCAGGAGGATCACAGCCTCCTGGGTCCTTCTCCTGCCCTGCAGTCTCCCGGATCCTACCTCCCTCCGTCCCTCTCTCTGACATCTTTGCATCCCAGGAGACACGTACCAGATCTTTAGGGTTTTTGCAATAACGGGGGGCCTTATTAGCAATTTAATTCATATCTATGTTATTATAGACCTCCAAATAAATAAGAAACATGCACCCCATTACATTTTGCTTTAAAACCGTCATGAAACGAATGGATGGCTTCAGCGCCCAGAATAGACCCAGTGGGTAAACCCCTTGAAAGTCTCCTCCTAAGCAGTAATATGGTACAGACCTACTTTGTCCTTGCTCTCACGCTTGTAAAAATCCCAAAAGTGAATTTTGTTTACCGAGAAATAAATGTTATGAATAGCTGTACTTTTAGATTATGTATCTTTTTCTGTATTATTTATTTCTTTGTTATGGGTGGATATTTTATAGTTAAATTTACTTTGATCCTGTACCACCATATTCTATATATCTTTATGATTGTGGTTGTGCTGTTTAGCATATATAGCTTCTCCATACTTATGGTATAGTAAACAATTAGGCCCTCCAACAAGATACCATAGACAGTTAATCCAAAGACATATTTACAACCTTAGCTAGAGATTGGGCCCCTTAACTCTGCTAGAAAAATTATAAATACATTTCCCCATACATGTCTCTTCTGTAGAAACCCATTTTTTTTTTATTTTTTTTTTTAATTATTATATTTATATATCGCCATCAAATTCCGCAGCGCTTTACAATGGGTGGACGAACAGACATGTAACACTAACACTAGTCACTGGGTTACTAATGATTCTCTGGACAAAAACCAATCCAGTGACGTCATATTCCCGAATCTGTCTAGGGGAAAGGACTCAATAATTGCACCATTCATTAATGCCAATGACATACTTTTGCCACATAAATTTTGCTTATGTAAAAACTTAGTGACCAATATGGTAAGATACGCTGGAAAGCAGGGCTTTGCTACGTTCCAGAAACACCTGGGTCTAGAACAAAATTTCATGAACCGAACACTAACAAAGAGGGGGATGCAGGCACTGCACAAACTGGCTATTCCAGCCATGTGATCGCGAGGACCCCGCACTCACATGGCCTGGGAGAGCCAAAGGGGGGACTGCCTGGGCTCCCAGACAGTCCCCAGGATCGCAACCGCCTCCGAGGGATTGACGGACATCGGATAAGTCTCCTGAATGTTTAATGCCACCCTGTGACATTTAGGATCACCCCCGCCAGGATGGCATAGAACACCCGCCGTTAAGGGATTAAAGGGACACTATAGTCACCAAAACATATCTAGCTTAAAGTGATTCTCCATTGCCAGGAAAATGTTTTCCTGGCACTGCAAGACATTGCAGTGCCCCTCTCCCTTCTATCCCATGTTGCTGAAGGGGTTAAAACCACTTCAATTACTTACCTGAATCAAGCGCCGATGTCCCTCCGCCGCACGTACATTAAACCTCCCCATAGGAAAAGCATTATTCAATGCTTTCGTATGGGGATTCTGGCGACGCTGGAAGTCCTGATGCATAGCATGAGGACATCCAGCGTCATTTAAAATACTGTTCTAAGAACGGAGTCTGACAGCCACTAGAGGAGGATTTAACCCTGCAAGGTAATTACACTTGCAAGGTTAAGGGTGGTGGTAGTTGGCACCCAGACCACTCCAATGGGCAGAAGTGGTCTGGGTGCCTGGAGTGTGCCTTTTAATTAAATTTTGGTGTATAGATCATGCCCCTGCAGTCTCACTGCACAATTGCCTGACATTCAGTAGTTAAATCAGTTTGTTTATGCAGCCCTAGGCACACCTCCCTTCTTGTGACTTGCACAGCCTTTCTAAACACTTCCTTTATTGTAAATGCTGTTTAGAATTTATCACCTGTTTATAGCTTTCTAGACCGCACAGGAGCCTCCTGTGTGTAATTAAAGTTCAATTTACATAGCAGGAGATGAAAGTTTTAGAGTAAGCTAGCATGTGATTAAGAATGAAGTTATGTCAGTCACAGCCAGGGGAGACGTTCCTGAGCTGTATGACAGAAACAAGCTATTTAACTCCTAAAGAGTAAAATTGAGCAGTGAGACTTCAGGGGCATGATCTACACACAAAAACAGCTTCATCAAGCCAGTCGTTTTGGTGACTATATTGACTGGGCGGGAGGAATTACATGCAGAAAGTCAACTCTGCAACTGGGTGCCTGTATGTTAGCTCCCTGTCAATCATTGTTACAAGCTCTATCATTTGCACCCTGCTATCTGTATAAAGAAGCCGTAAAGAGAAGACCATCTCTGGTCTCATCTCCCCATTTTAACCTTTAGATTATAAGCTCACGGGCAGAGTTCTCTACATGTTGTATTGGTCTGTTATTATAGTATGTCCTTTCCCCCCCCCAAGTGTACAGAGCTGCAGAGTCTCTTGGTGCTTGATAAATGCCAGTAATAAAGATATGAGCATAGGGTACTTTGACCTTAAAGTTGAAAGTCACCTTGAATCATAACTTTAGTTAATAAACCTCTAAATATCTGCCACTTGACTGCCCAGGCAACAAGTCTAGATTTTACTGGCACCTGTCTGACTATAGCAAAGAATTGTCAGTCAAGGGAGAGCTGTAAAAACCTCATACACATTGCACCATTCTGCTCTACACGCAGCATGTGCTTGCTATGTTAACTCCTTAACACTGGCTACTCACTGGAGTAGTGAAACAGACATTTTAGTTGATACTATGCTTGCAACAAAGACCGCGTATGGAATGGTGGAGTTTGGCCTGCTTTCGGAAGTGTCCTCAAAAATGGCAAACCAGATGTGGGCATAATCGTAAAACTGACGAAGTTCTGAAGATGACAGAGCTGGATCAGTGGTAAGGCTAGTACAGATTAAAATTTGACATTTAATACAAAAAAAAAAAAAACTTCAGCAGAAAGTTTATAAAGCAAATACTGGTCATCTCAGACAACATAGAAATTCAAGCCATTTATGCAAATTGAGTTCTTTACATGACAGATCTCTTAAGCGGTTTTACAGCCAATAGTGATCATGGTGCCAGGAATACCCTGGTGCTACTCTTCAATGTAATCAAACCATTTTAGAATGGTTTTACTGCTTAGCTGGGGTCCACAGCTTCTGATGGCATGTCATAGTTAAGTCTAGTGGTGCAGGACTTTGCCTAGTAAAGCTAAAGAAAGGCACCTGAAAAGCTCTGCAGGGTATAGCTCAGGAAAGCCAACAAGGGTTATTAAAAGTGAAATTTGCAGGGAATTCATAGTGAACTTCAAATTTAAGATCAAAATAGCTGAACCTGAAAAATGCACCGATAGCTATGTTTTCAGTTTGGCCAATTTTAGCATTCAATTTGAAATTGACTTTGAATCCACCTTGAATTCCCTGCAATTCTCATTTATTGAATAACCTTGTAAAGCTCTGCTTAGGAGCTTCCAGCTCTCCTTTGCAAGTAGTGAAGGCTATAATGCCCAATGCCTCCCAGTTAAGACATTAAGTTCTAAAATGGTTTGACTTTTCAATTGGGGCACCAAGACACTCCTGCTTGGTGTGTTCCTTTAACCTTTGAATAAGTCACTATATGCTAGATCAGTTGATCAGCTAAATGCCAGGTTAGACATCCAAATAATTCCAGAGGCAAATTCAGCATCAGGTTATTAAATATCATAGTTTTCCCTTCTCTTGACTATTAAAGAAACACTATAGCATTAGGAATAGAAATATATTCCTACCACCATAGTGCCCTAGTCAGTTAATCAGGCCGCACTGCCAGGTCTCCTTCGTGAAGCTCCACATCTTGCTGAGCTAAGCCAATGTGAGGCTATAGAGCATGTGCAGGAAAACCTCATACCCATTGGAAGGTCTCCAAGTCAATCTGATCGAAACAGTTTTATTCCCCCATCCCCATATTTATGCAGCAGGAAGGATATTAGTAGTGACAATTGTATAAAGATAAGGAATGTCCATAATTCTACATAGACACCAATACAAGAGAAGCAAATAAACATTTCCTGGTTGAGAGACAGCTGACAGATCACAGCCAATGAATGGAACACTACATGAAAATATTCAAAAAAACTGAAATCAGGACCATAACTTGTTCCACGCTGGCTCATTTCACCCCATTAACATTTTATCCACACTTAATGTGCCTTTGTCCTCTTGGAAAAAAAAATTAAAAACCCCATAGAAATATGAAGGTACTTTAAGAGAACCCTTAAATGATGGAACAGACCAATAGTTCAAACTCAATGTGTTGTGGTTCAGAAATGCCAATGTCATCAAGTGGTTAAAGGCTAGATTGCTGATACATTAGATTGATTCTATAGGGGTTAAACATGCTGCTTCTGAATGTCTCAGGTAATTTTTAACACACACACACACACACTTCATAAACCTTCAAGAAAAAGGGAAAAAAAACTGCAAAAGATTTTTCATGGGACATTTTATTCTCTTAAGAGAAACCTTTGTACAGAAAAAGCACAAATGCTTTAATAAGTTTATCTAGAATGGAACCTGGGAAAAGTATGAACAATGAAATCAAAAAAATAGTGATGGTTGACGTTTATGCTTCAAATGTAGAGAGGAAGTTTATTACAAGTTCTTTCAGCTTGACATCTGTCTGTTCAGAGATCTTTCCTTCAGTCCTGGAAGAAATAGAAGTAATTCATGTCAAAACACAAGGGGAGAAAAAAAAAGTGTTGTGAACATTCCAGTGGAAAAAACGAGAGCACTCTATTTACAATAAATGTCTTCATGTATTAAAACTGCATAGATCCAATGAAAACAAAGTGATTTATTGAAAATACACAGAGTGCTCTCATTACACACGTAACTATGAAGCCCAACAAAATCAGGCATTTTTGTACCTGATGGTGGCAAGGAGTTCCTGGTGTTGACTCTTAATGTGGGCAAGGAAAGCACTCTCGAATTTGGTGATTTTACTTGGTTCCATTTTGTCCAGGTGACCTCTGACTCCAGCATAGATAACAGTTACCTGCTCCTCAATGGCCATGGGCACTGGAGAGAATAGAATAGAACAAATTAGAGGATATCAAAAACCAGACAAGCCTGCTTATCCTAAATATTAAATCTTTCTAAAATGACCAATATTGTAAGTATCACTACTGTTGTGATGGTAAATAGCACAAATATTCAGCAAGTGGTAGTGGTACTGTCCGATTAACATTAAATGTCTTACCATACTGTCCTTGTTTCAGCAGCTCAGTCAGACGCACACCACGGTTCAGAAGCTGTTGAGTGGCAGCATCCAAATCAGAACCAAACTGGGCAAAAGCAGCAACTTCACGGTATTGGGCCAACTCCAGTTTCATGGTACCAGCCACCTGTAGAGTAGATCATTGTATGAGCAACAGGACACCATATAATGAAGCTTGCTCAATGACATTGTTTCCTAAATCTGATTTATTTTACATATTTAACTGACATTTCTATTTCCAGACCAGTTACTTTTAATCACATCATAACTGTATAGACTATTTTAAAAAACTAAAAAGCTATGCTCCAGTTTGAGAATACAATACACACCATTAGCTTCAAATATCTAGGCTTTGCATATTCTGCACTAAGCTCTCAAAGTGGTTGAACTAGAATATCACGCTTCCTACAGCAATGTTCAGTCTAAAGTGTATCATGGCACAAATATATAGCAGTTGTAGTTAAACTGCAAGTTTTAAGTAGAGGGGGACTTTTCTGTACCTTCCCCTCAAGGAAGTTGCACATGCGGATTGCAGTGAATCTTTTGGGTGTGTTAACTATTCGTTCAAAAACAAAAAGGTGACCAGGCATTATATATTAACCAGTCTACCCAGGACACTTAAAAATGAGAGAAATCTCAATGTATCCTTCCTGGTAAAATAGTTAATCAATAAATTTATGGCCCACCCCATCTGACATCACAAACATTCAGATAAAGGCAAAGCAGAATGTTGGGTAAGCGCTTTACTCTTACTCTGCTAACTGCAGAGCAACAGCTCAATTACACATAGGATTCAGTATGTCTAGTGGTTTGAACATTAGCACTTTCATCTCTACTCATATGTGCTTAACCTTCGGAAGACTAGAATGTAAGCACCTTCTGTTTCTGTATGCCCAACTCTTGCAAGCACATCACAATTTATTCTAATGTATAAGTTTACCCAGCACGTTTAAAAGAGATGCAATGAGCATTAATGGTACTCTGATTTAATGCAGGGATGTAATCAAATGTGCACACTGCCCTATGTATGAACTACATTAAGGATTGCCAGGGGAAAATCTATATTCAACACTGGAGTTGGACATCAACGATTAATTGCTTTGTGACAACCCTTTGTAGACAAGTAACCATTTACCTGTTTCATGGCTCTGGTCTGAGCAGCAGAACCTACACGGGACACAGACAGTCCAACATTGATGGCAGGTCGGATACCTTTGTAGAACAGCTCAGTCTCCAAGAAAATCTAAATAAAAATAAACAGTTAGTAATTCTAAAAACCAAAACAACCCAATAAAATCACGTCAAATTAATAAAGTGCCATTTCACCTGTCCATCAGTAATGGAAATGACATTGGTTGGAATATAAGCAGACACATCTCCAGCTTGGGTTTCAATTACAGGAAGAGCAGTCAGGGATCCACCACCAAACTGATCATTCATTTTAGCTGCTCTTTCTAGAAGACGGGAGTGAAGATAGAAGACATCACCAGGATAAGCCTCACGACCAGGAGGACGACGCAGCAGCAGAGACATCTGCCGATAGGCTACAGCCTGTGGATTAAACAGATCTGTGAGCAATAGTTGTGGGACCAATAAACGTTTGTATTGGAGTTGCTAGCCATTCCTATTTGTAGGGTAAAAACAAATTAACACTTTGCAAAAATCGATAAATTCTGTATTGCAAGGGATTAAAGAGTCAAGAAATTCCAGAAAAGTTACCATGTTTTACTTATAAAGAGGATTAATTTACATAGTAGGCCTGGCCAGATATATATTACGGGCATAGGTCTACTTGTTTGACCACAGTAGTCTGCACCATCCTACAACGGTGTTAAATTTTTGCTACTTATGCCAAGTGCCACCTGAATCGGCAGGCATCTCAGAGTGCCAGATTGAATATTCAGGACCAGCAAATTTGCAGTAGTAACTCAGTGCACAGCCGCAGTTCAGTTGTAAAGGTGGCTGCCAGGCCTACATAGCAAGGGTGCTTTAAAATAAAGTAGCTAAAATTTTGTTCGCTAGCAAGTGCTATTCAACATTGTTCTCAGCCAGAAGTCAGTTTTAGATAGTCATTGATATTGGGGACAGAGCAAAAGGTAAAACTCCGGAAATGTACCTGCTTCGATAAATCGTCATAGATGATTAAAGCATGTTTCCCGTTGTCTCTGAAATACTCTCCCATAGAGCACCCAGAGTATGGAGCCAAATATTGCAGGGGAGCAGCATCAGATGCAGTGGCAGATACCACAATGGTGTACTTCATGGCATCTACAAGGTGTAAAGAATAAAGATAAGACATCAAGAAGATATTGCAGGGTGGGTTTGCTTTCCACAATAATGCAATACATGTATACAATAGAAATAACCATATCTTTATAGACCTTTATTACTTTTAAATTGTCTGGTAATACTAAAATCCAAAACCAGAGACACAAACATTGCCTGCATTTTGCATGTTAGAAACTGTGCATGCAATTATTCATTAAGTCACTTCAGTATCAGACTAATGGGCTTATTCACTACAAAGATAGCTGTGCAAAATGTAAGCCAAAATAGTTTGGGAAACAGCTTATATTTATGCTTACAGTACCATTGTGAACACTTCAGTGATTAAAACAGAGGTTATTAAATAGAGCACAGTGCAAAGTACCTGCATTAGTTAGCCTCTTGACGAGCTGAGCCACTGTGGACCTCTTCTGACCAATGGCAACATAGATACAGTACAGTTTCTTTTTCTCATCAGTTCCATCATTAAATCTCTTCTGGTTGATAATTGTATCAATGGCAATGGATGTTTTACTGAAAATAAAAATAAAATAAAGCATAGCAGATCACTAGCATCCCAATACCCTCAACAGCTTAAAATGCAACAAGCTTACCCAGTCTGTCTGTCACCAATAATCAGCTCACGCTGGCCACGACCAATTGGCACCAGACTGTCCACAGCCTTGATACCAGTCTGCATAGGCTCCTTTACCGAAATGCGTGGAATGATGCCTGGCGCCTTCAGACCCACTCTTCTACGGATTTTGGCTCCAAGTGGACCCTTTAAAAAAGACATTTTAAGTACTAAATGTACTACTCCACCATCAGTTCTCCATTATATACTAGGCAACTGCTACTTCTGAATTAGAAACATGCCACAGCAATAGTTACACATACCTTTCCATCAATGACGTTACCCAGAGCATCAACAACACGACCAAGAAGTTCGTCACCTACAGGTACATCTACAATAGCCCCAGTTCTCTTCACAATATCACCTTCCTTGATGAGTTTGTCGTTTCCAAACACCACAACACCAACATTATCAGGCTCCAAGTTCAAGGACATGCCCTGTGGAAAATTAGAAGGCACTGAAGTCTCAAAAGCACAATACTAAACAGAAAAAAAATTCTATTAATTAGCTTTATTTCTGCAAGCTAACTGAAAATGAACACAAGTGTTTATACCTTTGGGGGATTACCCTAAGGTTGGACTACCACATGTTGCCATCTAGAGAGTGAGGGTGACTACACTTTTTTAACTTCTGCCACAACCATCTAGATCTCCCCCCACCCCCATTTTGTCTGCTCCAAAGTTCTGATACCACTGAGGAAATCATCCACTACCTTATTTCTAGCCTTGACTACTACAATAACCTACCTGGCCTTCCTCTACCCTCTTCAGTCCATCCCCTAGTCTGCCTTCCTATAAACTATCTGTAAAGACATTGTTCAGAGAAGACCAACACTCAACTATGCATTCCACTTACCCAATAAATGCACTCATCTCACTATTACATTCTCATCTTTGCAGGCCTCACCTCTAGTTTCTCAATGCCCCCCATTCCATCGAGATTGCAAGGTCCCACAGAAAGCAGGACCCTCATCTCCTGCTGTATTAGTTTATCAACTTTTGTATTGTCTTGGTTATATTGTATTGTGCCTTTTTACTTGTACCATTGTAGCCATGAACAGCTTTGCAGAATGTGATGGCACTTTACAAAGTATAATAAATAAGGTAGAATTAACTCCTTGAGGACTACTACTAAAGCTCAGATATAGTGGTCTGGGTGAATTTAGCAGTCATTTAAGCAACGTTAGATGGAAATCACGAAAATTGTAAAAAGAAAAATTTTAAACTTTCAAATTTAAGGGAACCTTAATAACCTGAAGTACACATTGTAGCATACAGCAGAATCCTGGCTCCTTGATTCACAGCTGAGGGGCTCGAACAATTGAGAAAAATAAAACCATTGGTGTATTTAAAAGCAATTCTCACTGTACAGAACATTATCTGCACCATCAACATTCAAAGCCAAGTTGTTATGGTGCTTAACCTCTTAAGGACACATGACATGTCAGGATTCCCCTTTATTCCATACGTTTGGTCCTTAAGGGGTTAAAGGACTACTAAGGCCACACAGACCACATCTCAATGAAGTCGTCTGGGTGCAGTGATCCTGGACATTTAATCCTTAAATTAAAAAAAATTTCCCCCATTTTGTAAAAAACAAAAAAAAAAAACGACAATGTTTATATTAAACTACAGGGTCAGTAACACAAACCTGTATTCCAGACCTTAATGTTAAAAACACCATCTAGGCTCCCTGCTTCCCCTCAATGCATCTCTATGGGGAAGTTCTGTGTCTCCATGAGAGGGTGGAGACACTGAATGACAGTGCTGCTCATTATGCAACACTGCCCCAGGAAGCACCTATAGTAGCCATATGAGGAGTGACTAGTGGATGAATCCCTAGGCTGTAATATAAACAGCATTCTCTCTAAAAAGACAGTATTTACTGCAAAAAGCCGGAAGAGACACTACTCATCAGTATACAATAAGCTGAAATTGTTCTGGTTACTAATGTCCTTTTAATGGCATAACAGTAAAACTTTCCTCCAATCAAATGCAGTCGATTGTAGCATTTGATTTGAGGAGCAAACCGTTTTGCCACTCCTGCACTCTTCAATTCAATATTTCTGTGAGAAGCATTAATTTTACAAGACTGCAGGTGACAGCATGCTTGCCGATATGGGAGGTGGAGCTGGAAGCTGCACAGGAGTCCCGGTGCTGGAAATAGGAGAGTAAGATTTAACTTAATGTTACAGGACATGGGTGTGATGGTTGCAGTGTGTACAGTGTGCACATTGCAAGAATTGAGCCTCTAGTCCCAAAATAATGATTATTGAAAACAGTCCAGCCACAAATCACTTGTAGGCATTCCAACTCTAGTATTACAGAATACTACCACCTAAATCTGAAGTGATTTGTGTCTAGACTGTTTCTCTTTTCAATAACAATTATCTTGGGACTAAAGGCTTAATTCTTGCAACGTGCACACTGCCCCCATCTCTATACAGAAACCTGAGTCACAGACAGCATATGCACAGACCATGGAATTCTAGAACAGACAGAACAAGCCTAAATAGACTGATAGCAGTTCTGACATCTGTCAGTTTGTTGAAAAGTTCCTATACAGTACTGTAGGATGAGATAAGTGATTTATAGCCTTATACCATAGTTGGACAGGGAATACACAGGATAAGATTGCAAGACTCCTAATTGGAACATATCCTGGTGTAGAAGCAGTTCACCTGAGTGTGCACTTTACACATGAGAAAGTTAGACAAATCTAAGCATGAAACAATTGAATGTGAAAATGCTGATTTTCCAAATAAGAAAGGTTTGGTGAGAAAAAAAATAAAAAATTTACAATATGCTCCAAACAGTACTGAAGATGTTCAAAATGCTCAATGAGAAAAAAACAACTTAAACTTAAATAAAAATTAAAACAAAACTCCCAAAACTACCTTTAGTCCTGAGGAAAATTCCACCATCTCCTCAGCCTGGACATTCCTGAGGCCATAGACACGAGCAATACCATCCCCAATGGAAAGTACTCTCCCAGTCTCCTCCAATGAAGCGCTGGTGTCAGCTCCAAGGATGCGTTCTTCAAGGATGGAGGATACCTCAGCAGTGCCTATGGCAAAAATTGCATCAATAACATAAGAGACTGAATTCCTGGTATGCTACACTTAGACAATCAAGTCATTTGACAATATATAGAGACAAGTAGATACGAGTAAACGTTAAAACAGATGACATCAACAAGTACTGTAATGTAGCTTTGCCAAGGTCAGTGCCTGATATAAGTGAGACATTAAGGATATCCTTAAATCTATTATGCAAGTCTTCAGACACTAAGCACAACTCCCACTTCCTTGACTTGGAAAGTAACAGGTAATGTTAATAGGAAAAATAAATTAGACCCCTTACCAGTCTTCTGCATCCACACCCCTGATGCATGGAGATTTCTAGTTGCAACAAAAGCAGCACCAAGGGCTTTCTTAGAAACCTGCAACAAAATGTGAAAAATTAGTTAAAGCATTTGCTCATTACTAGACATTTAGTCAAATAGGAACTAGCTAACTCACAAGCTTTGAAAGTTATTGACGGCATAAAACAAAACCTTAAAGTCCATAAGTGTCAAGGACACCAATCAAGGGCACAAATTGTTAAAGAAAACTAAACTGGACAAGTAAATTATTGTGCCACAAGTGTAAATTGGAAGACAACATTTAGCTTCAGTCAAGTTTATATATAGTTAAAAATAGTAAAAGTTACACTGATTATAAGATTGCAGTCACACATGTAAATCAAGAAGTGAGCAGCTGCAGGTGAAATCAAGTAAAGTAAGCATAAAAGTACTAGACTATTGCAAGATTTTTCTTGTAGAAAGCCTAGCAAATACCTATAGTCCTAACATTTCCATTTTACAAAGAACCACAAATGAGGTATGACTGGTGCTAAAGGTAACAAAGCATTTAACCAAAATAAAGACAATTAAACCCTTAGTAGTAGACTGAAGTCCATTGGCTTTCTAAATTATAAAGTGAATTAAATGCAGAAGTCTGCTTTCAAATGATAAATAATAAGCCAGCAATATGTGAACACTAGCTATCAGCACAGGGCACACAGGGATGAAAGATATTTTATGATTTAAAGGGCTCGGCTGCCATGACACCGGGGTCACAGTGAGAGCAGCCCGGTCTGTCACTCAGTGAGGGGATATATCGCCGGTGGATACCGTGGCGATGTTAGTACACGTCCTTGCTGTGTCAGTGAGGGGATATATCGCGGCTGGATACCGTGACGATGTTAGTACATGTCCTTGCTGTGTCAGTCAGTGAGGGGATATATCGCCGCTGGATACCGTGACGATGTTAGTACATGTCCTTGCTGTGTCAGTGAGGGGATATATCGCGGCTGGATACCGTGACGATGTTAGTACATGTCCTTGCTGTGTCAGTCAGTGAGGGGATATATCGCCGCTGGATACCGTGACGATGTTAGTACATGTCCTTGCTGTGTCAGTCAGTGAGGAGATATATCGCCGCTGGATACCGTGGCAATGTTAGTACATGTCCTCGCTGTGTCAGTCAGTGAGAGGATATATCGCCGCTGGGTACCGTGGCAATGTTAGTACATGTCCTCGCTGTGTCAGTTAGTGAGGGGATATATCGCCGCTGGGTACCGTGGCGATGTTAGTACATGTCCTTGCTGTGTCAGTCAGTGAGGGGATATATCGCCGCTGGATACCGTGGCGATGTTAGTACATTGTGTCAGTCAGTGAGGGGATATATCGGCGCTGGATACCGTGGCGATGTTAGTACATTGTGTCAGTCAGTGAGGGGATATATCGGCGCTGGATACCGTGGCGATGTTAGTACATTGTGTCAGTCAGTGAGGGGATATATCGCCGCTGGATACCGTGGCGATGTTAGTACATTGTGTCAGTCAGTGAGGGGATATATCGCTGCCGTGTACAGTGGCGATGTTAGTACATGTCCTCGCTGTGTCACTCAGTGGTGTCAGTGAGGGGATATATCGCCGCTGGGTACCGTGGCGATGTTAGTACATTGTGTCAGTCAGTGAGGGGATATATCGCCGCATTGTACAGTGGCGATGTTAGTACATGTCCTCGCTGTGTCACTCAGTGGTGTCAGTGAGGGGATATATCGCCGCTGGGTACCGTGGCAATGTTAGTACATTGTGTCAGTCAGTGAGGGGATATATCGCCGCATTGTACAGTGGCGATGTTCGTACATGTCCTCGCTGTGTCACTCAGTGGTGTCAGTGAGGGGATATATCGCCGCCGGGTACCGTGGCGATGTTAGTACATTGTGTCAGTCAGTGAGGGGATATATCGCCGCTGGGTACCGTGGCGATGTTAGTACATTGTGTCAGTCAGTGAGGGGATATATCGCCGCCGTGTACAGTGGCGATGTTAGTACATGTCCTCGCTGTGTCACTCAGTGGTGTCAGTGAGGGGATATATCGCCGCTGGGTACCGTGGCGATGTTAGTACATTGTGTCAGTCAGTGAGGGGATATATCGCCGCTGGGTACCGTGGCGATGTTAGTACATTGTGTCAGTCAGTGAGGGGATGGAGGTTCCGGCCTGCAGTCACTGTGACAGCGTGTGCCGGTATGACCTTCACAGGACACGGAGGGTGCGCTAGGCCCCAGCGGGGAGGCTGACCCCGGGGAGCGGGCGGTGCTCACACTGCAGGGCCCCCGTGCTGGCCAGGCCCCGGCCGGCTGCTCCCAGGTGGGGTGGGCGCACACAGTGACCGCAGGCCGCACTGACAGCACTCACAGACCGGGCGGCGGCGGAGGACAGGCAGGGGCTGAGCACTCACCAGGCCGGCCTGCCGGGGCAGGGTGCGGGCGAGGTTGGCGGCTACGCGGACTGTCAGCATTCTGATATCGGGGTGTCCGTGCTCGGTGACCCTGGCTGCTCGGAGTAGAATGTCCCGTGTCCGCCTCTCCTCGCAGACTGAGAAAATGGCGGCCCGGCAGCGCGCTAGTGAATGAAGGTCGGCCACGCCCCCGCCACGTCAGCCACGCCCTCTGTCACTTTTTCTTACACCAAGCTTTATTAACAGTAAACACACCGGCAGCCTTGGCTACAGCTTGTCATTGACAGGACACACAGTAAAGGACAAGGCCTGGAGCTGCAGGACAATATGTGAGAGACAGGATCTGAAAGCCTGATGATAGCAGTAGCTAGCCCATGAACAGATTGCCATGCTTATACAGAATTAAAGGGACACTATAGTCCTCGAATGCTGTTGGAGAAAGTCTCACTGTGCGTCTGACTGTCTTCACTATAAATTTATGCTGAGCTCATACCGCTCGGCTCTTTCCTCTGCAAAAGTTAATTCCTTCAATACCTTCATAACCACACTCTCCCGCGAACCCAAATGAATATTTTACACATTTAACTCTCTTCTTCGCCCTGCTGTTCCTCCTCTACCTACTAACTTGACCGCCTCAGACTTTGCAACTCACTTCACTGCCAAGATCTCTACAATCAGAGAAGAGATCTCTCATCTTTCTTCTTCCCCTTACAATACTTCCCCTAACTTCACTCCCTCTGCTGTTCTATGTTCGTTCGAACCCGCTACATTGGAAGAGGTTTCTGCTCTGCTCCAGTCCTCCCGCCCCACCACCTGCTCTCTAGATCCAATTCCCTTGCATCTCATCCGTACTCTGTCTTCTTCTCTTTCTCCACCTCTCACTAAAATTCTCAATCTCTCTCTCTCCTCTGGTATATTTCCATTGCCCTTCAAACATGCAACTGTAACTCCAATTCTAAAGAAGCCCAATCTTGACCCTAACTCCACATCCAACTATCGTCCTATCTCGCTACTGCCTTTTACATCCAAGATCCTTGAAAAAATTGTGTATGCGAGATTGACAGACTTCCTCGAGTCCAACTCTCTGCTAGACCCGTTTCAGTCTGGTTTCCATGCTAAGTACTCTGTGGAAACGGCACTGACCAAAGTATCCAATGATCTACTCGCTGCAAAATCTTGTGGTCACTACTCTATCCTAATTCTCCTTGACCTGTCTGCGGCTTTTGACACTGTTGATCATCAACAGCTTCTTCTCATCCTCTGCAATATCGGTCTACAAGATATTGCTCTCTCCTGGTGCTCCTCCTACCTCTCCCAGCGCTCTTTCAGTGTTTCTTTCTCTGGCTCTGCTTCTTCTCCCCAACTCCCCTCTGTTGGTGTCCCCCAATGTTCAGTCCTTGGTCCCCTACTGTTCTCCATCTATACTGCCTCCCTTGGTAAACTCATTAGCTCCTTTGGCTTCTAATATAATTTCTATGCTGATGACACGCAAATCTACCTGTCCTCTCCTGATCTCTCCCCGTCCCTCTCTGACTGCCTCTCTGCTGTTTCTAACTGGATGGCTGCCCACTTCCTTAAACTAAACTTGACCAAAACTAAAATTCTGGTATTTCCTCCCTCAAGTGTTTTTACTCCTGTGTCTGTCTCCCTCCAAGTCAACGGTGCTACCATCAGCTCCACCACACAGGCTCGCTGCCTAGGTGTTCTCTTTGACTCCGACCTCTCCTTCAAGCCTCATGTTCAATCTATCCACTGTCCTTTCTCGCCTTGACTACTGTAATCTGCTTCTCAGTGGTCTTACATGCTCCCAACTTGCGCTGTTACAGTCCATAATGAATGCGTCAGCGAGGCTCATCTTCCTGTCCGCCCGCACCTCCCATGCCTCACCCTTCTGTCAGTACCTACATTGGCTTCCTATAAAATATAGAGCTCAATTTAAAATTCTGGTTCTTGCTTTCAAATCTCTACATAATGCTGTTCCCACCTATCTATCCTCCCTTAAACACAAGTATGTCCTGTCTAGGCCCTTACGATCTGCTGAAGACTTACGCCTATCTTCTGTCCATACTCCCACCTCTGATGCTCGCCTTCAAGATTTCTCGAGGGCTGCACCGTTCCTGTGGAACTCGCTTCCCTCCTCCGTTAGATGCTCATCCAGTCTCCACTCCTTCAAAACGATCGTTAAAAACCCACTTCTTCATAAAAGCATATCAATTAAACTGTTAATAGTTCCTGACTGATTCCTCTTCTGCAACTGTCACTAGTCTAATACTATCCTTACCTTTTTGTGTCATTTTACCCCACTCCCTCTAGCATGTAAGCTCATTGAGCAGGGCCCTCAACCCCTCTGTTCCTGTGTGTCCTACTTGTCTGGTTACAACTACGTCTGTTCGTCCACCCATTGTAAAGCGCTGCGGAATTTGACGGCGCTCTATAAATATCATAATAATAATGGTCACCCAGACCACTTCAGCTCAATCTGTCTGGGTGCCAGGTCCCCCAGGTTTTCACCCTTCAGAGAAACTGCTATGTTTACATTAGGGTTAATCCAGCCTCTAGTGGCGGTCTCTCTGACAGCCGCTAGAGGCGCTTCCGCTACCCTCAATGCGAAAATCGCATTCCAACGTGCAGAACGCCCATAGGAAAGCATTGAGTAATGCTTTCCTATGGACTGTTTGAATGTGTGTGTGGCTCTAGATGCGCATGCGCATTCCGCTCCACTCGGGGAGCTGACGTCGGAGGGGGAGGAGAGGTCACCAGTGCCGAAGGAGCCCAGTGCTGGATTAAGGTAAGTGGCTAAAGGGGTTTTAACGCCTACAGCCCAGCGAGAGGGGCGGGGCCTGAGGTTGGGGGGGACCTAAGGACTATATAGTGCCAGGAAAACAAGTTTATTTTCCTGGCACTATAGTGGTTCTTTAAGTGAACGAAAGAGCAAATAATAAAATACGCTAAAATACACTTTTACCAAAATAGACGGGTCTGGCAAACCTTTTTGTCAGATTGCTTTGTTTTTATGTTATGTTAGCATTTTATAGTTCCAACATACATACCTCGCAAGTGTCCCTATTCATAATGGACAGTTCCGATATTGTTCCCAAATCCCTCTGTCCGTCTATCGGTCCTATTGTCCCTCTTTTCTAGTTGCTCCATATTGTTGATGTGTCTGAGTGTGCAACAGAGCTCCACAGCAATAAAATTCACAGTATTGTGTCTTTAAACTACAATAAATGTTGTTTTTTAGAACAAGAACAATGTATCTAATTTGCACAGACTGATTTCTAACTAAATTTTTGTTCCATAAATTGTTACTAGTAGGACTAACATGCCCTTTAACTCCTTTAGAATTTCGTGGAATAGCATAAATGAATTCAGCTATTCAATTAGACCAGAGAGGAATCCCACATAATGTGAATGCTACATTCTGCATAGGGCTGAGTTATTCCTATTAATGTAAAGAATTAATACTAGTGCAGAAAAACATGGCAGTGGTCAGTGGTTATCTTCACCATTTGCCTCTTGCATTCCCAGGCATTAGCAATGTCAGAGATTAAAGGAACACACCAAGCGCCATAACCACCAGTGATGGCTGCAGGGAATTGGGAATTGGCCCCGTCTATGGAGGAACTAGCGGTGTTGCGGTATCCTCCATAGACCTCAATGCAGTACTCTGCAGTGTATGTGTAAGAGTACAGCGGTGACATCGGCTCCTGGAGCTTGTTGAAGAGAATGAACCAGAGGAAGAAGGCCGCTCTTGGGCGGAAAGGTTCAGGTAAATAAATCTCACCTTTACCTGCCCCCCACCAGCCTCAATGTCACCATTGGGAACTTTGCAAATTCTGCAAAATCCACAGATGGTGACATGGTGATAGTGCTGCTTTAAGTTTACATGCCCTGGTCTGGTTTATTAAACATTATCAGGGAGATCATGCCAAACTAATCTTATTGATTTTTTTGATTGGGTAACTAAAATTATAGATCAGGGTGGTGCAGTAGACATTGCTTACCTAGATTTCAGTAAGGCTTTTGACACTGTTGCACATAGAAGGCTTATCAATAAACTGCAATCTTTAAGTTTGGATTCCAATATTGTTGAATGGGTAAGGCAGTGGCTGAGTGACAGGCAACAGAGGGTTGTAGTTAATGGAATATATTCGAAGCTTGGACTTGTCACCAGTGGGGTACCTCAGGGATCTGTACTTGGACCCATTCTCTTTAATATTTTTATTAGTGATATTGCAGAAGGTCTTGATGGTAAGGTATGTCTTTTTGCTGATGATACTAACATATGTAACAGGGTTGATGTTCCAGGAGGGATAAGCCAAATGACAAATGATTTAGGTAAACTAGAAAAATAGTCAGAATTGTGGCAACTGACATTTAATGTGGATAAGTGCAAGATAATGCATCTTGGACGTAAAAACCCAAAGGCAGAGTACAGAATATTTGATAGAGTCCTAACCTCAACATATGAGGAAAGGGATTTAGGGGTGATTATTTCTGATGACTTAAAGGTAGGCAGACAATGTAATAGAGCAGCAGGAAATGCTAGCAGAATGCTTGGTTGTATAGGGAGAGGTATTAGCAGTAGAAAGAGGGAAGTGCTCATGCCATTGTACAGAACACTGGTGAGACCTCACTTAGAGTATTGTACACAGTACTGGAGACCAGATCTTCAGAAGGATATTGATACCTTAGAGAGAGTTCAGAGAAGGGCTAGTAAACTGGTGCATGGATTGCGGGATAAAACTTACCAGGAAAGGTGAAATGATCTTAACATGTATAGCTTGGAGGAAAGACGAGACGGGGGATATGATAGAAACATTTACATATATAAAGGGAATCAACACAGTAGAGGGGGAGACTATATTTAAAAGAAGAAAAACTACCGCAACAAGAGGACATAGTCTTAAATTAGAGGGACAAAAGTTTAAAAATAATATCAGGAAGTATTACTTTACTGAGAGGGTAGTGGATGCATGGAATAGCCTTGGGATAGGCATAAGGCTATCCTAACTATAAGATAAGGCTAGGGACTAAAGACAATATTTAGAAAATTGGGCAGACTAGATGGGCCAAATGGTTCTTATCTGCCGACACATTCTATGTTTCTATGTTTCTATCTGGTACTGTCAGGGGATAAATGAACCTCAAAATCAAGATATTGTTCTCAAGATTAATCAGTGTCCTCGAAATAAGATTAAATGCAG